GTCTTGCCTTCCTTGAAGGGTTTTTCTAACCATCCAAAGAAATAAATATGTGAAATCATCATGAAAGTTAAAAAAAAAAAAAGCATTATGAAAAGGCCAGATAGTCCCCCTCACCTAGTTATTAAATTTTTTGCACATAAAGCTAATTGATGTGTTTGTTCCTTAAAATGTCTGCCAAAGGGCTGGCTCCAAAACTTTTCCTAACAAATACTGTACCTGCTGCCTGAGTGATTGACTGAATAGATGAATTAACTTTCAAGCTGCTATGATTTTACATTCCTATTTGAAGAGAACTCCCCCTAATTCAGTGGAACAGACACTAACCTAAACTTGAGGGTATCTGGTTCAACATGAAGAAACACATTCTAAGGAGTTCTAAGGAACTTTAGATAGCTCGTGCTAAAATGTTTACTTTCTTAATGAAAATTGGCCTTTGACATTCTCTTGAAAATAACCTTATAGTCTTTGAATGACTTTTTAAGCATAAGCACTTAGTGATGTAACACACTTAAAATGGTCATCATTTTGATTGACTAAGCCACAAAAAGTATTCAAAGCCTAAGACAACTTGCACAGGGTGGATTTATAATAAGCATTTCATAAATCGTGGAAAGATGTTTACTTGCAGAGTAACCCAAACGATTTTAAATTAAGTCAAGGAACACAATCCAGTAGTTAAAATGAATCATCGTGGATCGGCACATTATAGGTCAAAGGCATGTCACAAAATATAAGCAAGTTGCAAAGTGGTATATGTACTACAGTGTAATTAACATAAATATGAAAATATGCAAAAAATACAGTATCTTCTGGGTGCATAGTTTGCCGTAAATATGAAAGAGCAGGCAGAGTTACTATGCACTGTTGCACTCAACACTTCTCTTCAGGCCATGACTTGAAAACACATGGTAGAATGAAAGATTCCAGCTCAAAATACTTGTTCCTAAGAATCAAATTGCCTATACGAGACAAAGTGGGGACCACTGGAGATAGGAAAGAGGCATGGTAGTATTTATAATGTTTCATTAAAAATACATATTTATGGAGCGCCTGGGTGGCTCAGTCAGTCGAGTGCCCAACTCTTGATTTCAGCTCAGGTCATGATCTCATGGTTCATGGGTTTGAGCTCCACACTGGGCTCTTTGCTGACAGCACAGAGCCTGCTTGGGATTCTTTCTCTTTGGCCCT